CGTTAAATCGTTTTAACCCAAAGCTAATCTTTTGTGAAATTTGTCTGCAACTTTTAATTTAATTCCCTTCTCAGATTATAATATAATGTTTAAAAAAGTAGAATCGTTGTATGTACAATTCAAGTTTTAGATTTATTTACTACTTTCAGTTTTTTTTAATAGTCTTCTCTTTTTCCAGCAGAGAGAGATCATCATTGCCTGAATTTAGCTTTGTGACTACAGCAGCAAGACCTGTTCCTGTCCGGAGACGACTGTTAAAATAATATCATCCTATCATTTTATGTTTGCCCTTTATCAGTTTGAGTAGATGTTTACATGTACTATAATTAGCATTTTATCTTTACAGTTCTTCTAGGGTACATCTGAGTCCAGAAGTAAATCTGAGTGTGTGCTTTGTCTGACATTATTCTTGAATATTTTCTCCCTTTTATAGCCATTTATTTTTAAACACCTTAAGAAGGAAAAAAAAAAAACCCCAAACTTCTTGGTTTCCTAACATGAGATAAGTTTTCAGTCTCAGCCAAGTTGACATTGTGTCTAGGAAATATATAAAGCCATGATACTGTGTTCATTAGCATGAACAATTTAAAATGATGAAAAATGATTAAAAAGTTAAACCTGGGTTTGGCTTTAATTTTTCTGGGTTCTAGGATGCATTTCTGGGGTTAGGATAGTCACTTAAAATAATTTTGAACAAATGGTAAAATACTTTTTTCTCATGGTGACAACTTGTTTCTTATAAATATATTTTCTGAAGTCATTGCCAAGGCCACTTACCCAAATAATTTTTTTTTAAATTCTGAACACTTCAGAACCAACAAGGAGAATAATTTTCCTTCTTTTCAAGTTGTACAGGATGATCTGTGGATTATAAATATTGAGAAATATCTATTAAATGTCTAATTTACTCAGTTTTTCCTTATTTTCCTCACTTGCAACCAGGACATCAAAGACAATCTTAAAAGCAAGGGAAATAGTGTTGTGTGTCTAACTTGTTAAAGACCATACTTTTCCTGTCTTAAAATGTTTATGCCCATATTTATAAGCAATATGGCTTGGAATTATTTATGAAGAATGTGATTAAATCTTACTCTTAAGTATTATTCATCCAAAATGCCCTCTTTATAATGGCACCATAAAGTTTTCAGAAAATTAATTTCTTGATATTCCTTTGTAGGTTAAGTTAATGTTAATGAACATTTGTGAAATCAGAAGTTACACTTGATAGCAATTCTTTATTTTAAAAAGTCTAAATTATACCTGATTCTATTCACCCTTGTTTTTTTTTTTTAGTTCCATTCAGCCATGCTCATATTGTCACCTTTTTGTGCAAAGTTGACTATTCTGGAAGCACTTTTTCTTGAGTATGCATTGCATTTGTCTTCATGAAGAAAAGAATGAACACATCAAACATAATGTAAACTATTTTGATCCACATTAGTTGGGGACAATATGGTTAATGTAGGCTTGGTTTAAAGGAAAAGTACAAATTTTGGAAGATCTTAACATAAATATGACCTACAAGGCATTCTAAAATTAGACTTTTGTTTTAGTTCACATTTGCGGATTAATGTATAGTTGAAGGAAGATCATAAATATTTTCCCAGATTAGTTCAGGGGATTTTGGGGGGGGGGTTGTTTATTTTTCCAAGGAAAGAATCTCTGCTCATGTAATAGAACAGTTCTAACCTGCTAGGTTAAAAACCCAAAGAACATTGTCTGAAGAGACCATACTAGCTGTTGACAGTTTTGGTTGGTTAATAGATGTGGATCACACACCACTACTTTTAATTTTACTCTGTCATCTTCCTCCCCACACACACTTTTAAATTCAAAACAAAATAGAGCAAAACGAAATTGAAGGTGCCATTGAGAATCAGAAGTTGATTGAGATGATTTGATTCTCATTAAGATCATTGCACTTTTTGAAAATTGCTGAGAGATCTAATAGGTCAGTTACCTATTTAAATTCTCATGTTGATTAAGAATTTTCATTATTTCGTTTTCCGAAAGAGGATTCTCATAGAACTATGTGTAGATTAGTGTACAGAATCACTTGTGTAATTGAATGGAGCAGCTTACCTCTGCATGATTGCATTATGGAAGTCTTTTTTTATATCTTTATATTTTTCAATATATTTAGATTTTACACTATTAGCTGCCCTGGTCATGCTATATTTGGTTTTTTAATAGAGTTTATAAATATTTGTGCTCAAAATACAGATCAATTGAATATTTTTGGTCTTGTTTACAAGATTAATAATACTTTAAAGTGATGCAGCCCCTCAAGTGTCTTCGGAAAAAGTCATTGGTGCTACGCAACCTTTCAATATCATTTTGGAACCTGTTACCTAGACTTTGCTAGGCTTCAATCTATGATTGCTTGTGATTTATTCTAATCTAGCAGCGTAATTATAAAAGTGAGGCAGGTAAAGAGCCCAGCCCGTTAGAAACACCCCATAATTTAAAGATACAATGCAGAATGACAGTATTCTAATTTGTGCCCAGACTCCCAAAAAAGAAAATGGTTTCTTTAGATGGTCATTAGGTCTTTTGAGAAGAGGAATGGTGTTAATCTGGCTAGAATGAAAAAATGATACATTCAGCATGGCTCAGTTTCCCCACATTTCAAATGGAAAACTTCCCTATTCCTAAAATACGGTGTAATCCTGCTTTGCTTTAAATTCGCATCTGTCTTTTACTCAACAGGAGGCAGGGTAATTCTTAAATATTTATAGAGCATTTGATGAGTTGTAAAGAGATGTATTATTTACATTGTACTAGTTTTGTGTTGATGTGCAGATTGTTTTCTACATCTGCAGGAGTTCATTCCAGCACCTTAGTGAATGTTCTTAAGATACAGTTTTTAAGTATCAGCAAAGCATTCATAGATGTTTACTTTTGATTCTCAGAGTCCTGAACCTGTTTTGGGTGTAATATTACTTCAGAACATGTCTGGCACAAGATTTCCTTTAATAAGTGATTTAGTTTCACTCAATTTCTGTCGATTGTTGAACCTAAAAACACCAAAGGAGTCCTTTCTTTGTCTGGAGACTGGATTGTTCCAGTTTTTAATACCTGTGCCCATAAGTATCCCATTTCACGAATGTGTGTTGGCATGGGGGAAAAATTCCCTGCTCTTTGAGTGGAGCAAAAAAAATTGGTTAAGCTGTAGCAGCTTTTTTTGTTTATTTTTTAAAGTGATAATAAAACTTGAACTGAAAATGGTAAAACTTGAACCAGAAAACTACTCTTGTATGCTTAGAATGTTTATAGTATTACGTGTTTATGTGGGGTTGTCAACATTTTTATTATTTATAGTTGAATTATGTTTTGTTTGTTAAATATCCATAATGTTTATTATTTTTATATTTAAAAAATTTTTTAAATAAAGTAGTCTTACTAAAAGCAGTTGTTAACTTTTTAAAATTGTCCTGCATTTTGCATCAATTATATTAATATAGAATAGAAAGGAAAATTTGCAGCCCTCGAGCACTGCACAATTAAAAATTCTGAAAATGTTTATATGAAGAAATGGCTCCATGTTGCCTCTTCCCCTCTTTACCTCTATTCTCACTTTAAATTGTTCTAAGTCACCTTTGGTACCAAAGTTTTCTTGGCCTAATGATTCCTTTTCTCACACATAAACAAATTCCTACATACCCTTTTTCTCCCTAATTCCTGCCTCTTTACTGCTGGGAATTTTGTCTTTGTTTCCTTTGGGGACCAAAAAATTTCTCCTTATCATGAGTGATAAGTATAAAAATATTACTGTGATGTCAAAGAAGGACTGCCATAGATTCTGAAGTGAAATTAGAGACATATAGCACTTAACTCCTGTCAACCTCCAGAGCCACTGAAAGTTTTCAGAACGTCTACGTAATTTTCAGTTTTCATCTGAACATTTCTTCTGATCTAATTTGATATGCTTTTCCAGCTTTCAGCATGTTCATTTCATATTTTATTTTATTGAATGATAAATTTGCAGTACTTGTTATTTTCTTTTATTGCAGATATTCCTTCTGTCATCTGTAACATGGGTTAAATAAGCTTGGTAATAGCCTGTCTTCCACTTGTTATACTGCTGCTACAAGAAAATACATTATCTCAAAGTGTATAAATCTTGATGAAAATCTAGTTAAAGAGATCTGGTTAGGAAATAGTAGAAGACTGGCTTGAAATAATAGAGGACTTTGGTTAATAAATAATGATACGCTTGGTAAAACTATGAAAAATAATTACATATTTTATATCTGTATATAGCCAGTCCCTGTGGAGTATTTGCAGAATGAGCATGTTGTCAACCTTCACTTAACCCAGGAAATATTTCTGTATAAAGTATGAATGGATTTGGTCTTTAATCCTTTAGAAAATCCCATATACTCTATGTTATTGTCAAAAAACTAGAAATTCAAAATAAAAAGACAAGAGGTAGGATGATAGAAAGCCTGACATCTACAAATGATGAATAGGCATTTTTAAATAGGATTACATAATGTATACTGTTTTGTAGTCTTTTCATTTATGATAACAGGTTTACACCATTTTTAGAGACCCTGCACTTGTAGATGAATCATGGTGTATTGATTCTTCTCATTTGGGGCACTTAGAATTTTTCCATTTTTATTTTCATATAAATGATACCATACCCTTGAGCATCTTTGATCATTTCTTCAAGATACAGTCTCAGAACTGCTGGGTCAAAGTACGCTTATTAAAATGATACATTTTGAGTTTGATCTTTTATAAAGCATATATGTATTAATACCTAGGTACTTTGGTAATTTAGCTGTTGAAGAACAGCATACGTTCACTTTTCTTTGCAAATGTGTTAGAATTTATTCTATATTCATCTTGTAACAAACCAAGTTATGCCTAACACAGTAGTCAAGCTCCGATGCAGTAGTGGCACTTACTATTTTGCGTTGTGTTTCGCTGCCAGGACTTTGTATATATACCACAGCAAGTTCTCTCCTTGGAGCTGCAGACTTTTATACTTTTGTTAATGGCATTTTATAAATTCCCAAGAACTTCTGTATTCTTGCAACTAATCTGTATTGAATGGTAGGGCAAATAATCTTTACCTTTATTAAATAAGATAAAATAAATGACAGAATAAGGACTGGAATTCCCATGTCTTAATACCATATCCACTATAAGAACAAAGAGGTACCAAATAATTTACAGCAACAAAAAACTCCCCATATTTTTCATCTCAACTCTCCAAACTGCTTTTTTTCCAGAAAAATGTAATTTATTTTCCCCATGAAGTTTATGAACATTTGTTACTGAAGTACACAAAGCATGAAATAGACTATGAAAGAAGAAAATTACATAGAAATAGAAGATAGTGGTCCAGTAAATTTTCCTTATATGTCATGAACAGAAAAGGGCACTTTTGAAGTGAGACTTCATTTTACTGGGAAGAATAAGATTCCTTGCAAACCATGAACATTTTCCTGAGCTATCAATGGCTGTGTTTTATATAATATTTAATACATAATATTCTATGACAATTACAGTATTTAAGGACTGACGGTATTATGGCCAAGTTTTCTTAAGTTGTGAGAGTTTTTTTCACTTTTTGTAAATCTAAAATGTGTATTATTGAGGTATTATGCA